CATCTATTGATGGGGAGCTGCACCTGCTGGAAATCGGGTCCAGCGTCCCTGTACAAGATATGATATGTATCAACTGGAAATCGGGTCCAATGTCCCTATTCAGTGATATGAGGAAATATTATTTTACCGTGATACGAAGCTGTAACACCGATGTGATGTGTATGAGTTGGGATTCGGGACGAGCCTCCCTATTATGTGTTTGCACCTACATCTCATAAAAAAGCCGAGACATTGATTACTTCCCTGCGTAAGGAAAGGATTGACATCCAACTCATGAATTATTGTCTTAACAAAATGCATCTTCAACGATTCCCAAACGAGGAAGTCAAAGCAAAGCACGAAACCCTAAACTACCCACCTCCCCGTTGGGGACTATCACAAAAAGAAATTGGGGGTCGAACCCTAACCACGTTAACAACCATCTCAACCATATATCCATCATGACATCGACCTTCTTGATTGAAATTGGGGGTCGGACAATTTCAATCAACTTCAACTATCCTACCCCCGGCTTGAGCCGAACAACAAGAAGCAATCCCATATCAGGATTGGAGGGGGGGGAAATATAACACCAATTTATTTCAACCCCAATCCCCTTCCCCGTGTCTACGTAAAATCCCGGCTTCTCAATCACCATGCTCACGACGAAGTAGTTGTTGTTGTTGTTGATGCTGTCGCTGTTATTGTTGTCACTCTGGTCGTTGTTGTTGTTGTTGTCGTTGTTGTTGTTGTTGTTGTTGTTGTTGATGTTGATGTCGTTGTTGTTGTTGTTGTTGTTAGCCGCCGCCAACACTGCAGGCGCCGCGATCAATGATGTCGTTGATATGATTAGTATTGGCTTTGTGATCCTTATTGTCTTCGCGGCCTCCAATATCACTGGTGTCGACGTTGTTGTCGTTGTCGTTGTAGTTGTCGTTGTTGTTGTTGTTGTTGTTATTGATGTTGTTGTTGGTCTTGATGTTAACGCTGTTACCTCTGATGCCACGTGCTCCTCCTCACCATCAATATCGCCTTCCAACCGGTCTTCCAGAAGAGCACACAGATCGCGACCCTCTTTGAATAGGGTTTTGCAAACAGACATGATGCCATCTGCCCTCCTCCAATCTATGCAGACGTCAAGCCGAGGATCCGGTCCCTCCTCCAGCTCCCAAATGATCTCCAGCATGTCCTCACTTTTATCCTTCAGCCAACCAGCCAGAGAAATCGCTCCCCCTTCGACCTCTGGCTCCACTTGGAGCCGCAAAGACATGTCCCTCACAATCTCCTGTAGTCATCTGCGTCCGTTCTCCAAGGTAATCAGCCATTGGTTCGCTCCAAGATGTAGCTCCCTCTGCAAAATCTCCTCCATGGTAGCCATGGCTTGCTCAAAGAACTGGGCCACTATTGTGCAGTAACCGTCCAATCAATCATGGCTGGCCACCAACGACAGGTGGCACGTGGCAAGCTGAAAGCCACGGCCACGTGTCGGGCGCGCGTGCACAGGCCCGGTGGCCTGGAGGGGGCTCACCTCTCCAGCACGTCCTGCCTTCTACCAGCTCACGATCGAAGCCCTTCTTCTAGTTGTTGCCTGACGCCCGGGAGAGGTGATCCGCACGCAATCTGGACCGTACGCAATCTGGACCGTCGTTGGAGTAGTACCGGACGGTTCAGGTTTGTGTCTCGATCGTTGTCCGGTCGATTGCACACCGGCGGACGGTACCGCGCGCGGCCAACCGTATGGCACTTTCCATCTGGGCCGGCGGGCCGGCTTCGTGACTCGCGCGCCAATCGCCGCCACTGCCCACACAGCGCCCGGCCCCAACACGCTGCCTGCTGCTGGCACTCGACTACGTGCGCTTTCTCGCTTCCGTGGGCCGTCTCTATGTTGCCGCTCTCTCTACGCTGGTGAAGGTGTTCTCTCTCTCTCTCTCTCTCTCTCTCTCTCTCTCTCTCTCTCTCTCTCTCTCTCTCTCCCCCTTTACCCCCCCGCTGGACTCGATTCTCTACTGCTCTAAGCTACGGTCGACTAGGTTACGCTACGCTTGAGTCTCGACTCGCCACTTCGACTACGCTACTGTACGCTATATGCTACGCTGGACTCTGCACTGGATACTCGGACTGTCGACTGCGCTTCGTTGGACTCGAACGTGTGTGTGTGTGTGTGTGTGTGTGTGTGTGTGTGTGTGTGTGTGAGAGAGAGAGAGAGAGAGAGAGAGAGAGAGAGAGAGAGAGAGAGAGAGAGA